TAAAGAAATGTTCAGTGTCCTTAGTCGTCAGGGAAATGCAAATCAAAACAACCCTGAGATTCCATCTCACACCAGTCAGAATGGCTAAGATTAAAAACTCAGGTGATAGTAGATGCTGGCGAGGGTGTGGAGAAAGAGGAACACTTCTCCATTGTTGGTGGGACTGCAAGATGGTACAACCACTTTGGAAATCAGTGTGGCGGTTCCTCAAAAAATTGGACATAGTATTACCTGAGGATCCAGCTATACCACTCCTAGGCATATACCCAGAAGATGCTTGAACATATAACAAGGACATATGCTCAACTATGTTCATTGCAGCCTTATTTATAATAGCCAGGAGCTGGAAAGAACCTAGATGTCCTTCAACTGAGGAATGGATACAAAAAAATGTGGTACATTTACACAATGGAGTATTACTCAGCAATTAAAAACAATGAATTCGAGAGTTTCCTAGGTAAATGGATGGAACTATGAATTATCATCCTGAGTGAGGTAAGCCAATCACAAAAGAACACACATGGTATTCACTCACTGATTATTGGATATTAGCCCAGAACCTTGAAATGCCCAAAATTCAACTCACAGGCCACATGAAGCTCATGAAGAAGGAAGACCAAGTGAGGGTGATTCGGTCCTTCTTAGAAGGAGCAACAAAATACTCAAGGGAGCAAATATGGAGACAAAGTGAGGGTCAGAAACTGAAGGAGGGGCCGTCTGAAGACCATTCCACCTGAGTATCCATCCCATGTGCAGTCACCAAAGGTAGATGCTGATGTGGAAGTCAGGAAGTGCATGCTGATAAGAGCCTTATGTAGATATCTCCTCAGAGTCTGACATATTCAGAGGCAGATGCTCACAGCTAGCCATTGAACCAATCATGAGGTTCCCAATGGAGGAGTTAGAGTGAAGACCATTGGAGCTGAAAGTGTTTTTGGCCCCATGAAGAGAGCAACAATATCAACCAACCAGAGCTCCCAGGGTCTAAACCACCAGCCTGGGAGCACTTAGGGAGGGATCCATGGCTTCAGCTATATATGTAAGAGCGGAGGGCCCTGCTGGGCATAGGTGGGAGAAGAGATCCTTGACCTCATGAAGGCTGGATGCTCCAGGGGGTGGGAATTTGAGGGTAGGGAGGTGGGAGGGGGGGTAGGTAGGGTTACATCTGCAGAGAAGGAGGAGGAGGGGTGAGGGGATAGGGGGTTCCAGGGTGGGTGGGGGATGGGGTAAGGGGACAACATGTGAAATGTAAGTAAAACATCCAATAAAAAATAAATAAATAAATAAAAATAAAACAAGTCAGTAGTCCATCCAGCTATAAATGAAGGCAGGAGTCCATAGATAATGTTGAAGTTAGAGGAAAGTGTGGTAGATTCAGACATTCTGTAGAGAAGACAGAGTCTGCAGGACAGAAGGGAGTGCTGAGAGAAAGAGAACACGAGTTGTCAGTAGCACTGAGGTTCCAGGTTTCAGACAGCTGAACACATGAGTTAAGTATATTGAAGCCCACATTCTTGCCGTTGGGTGCATTCCTAATGAATGCAAAGCACTGATGTGGTAGTACAGGAGTGCGCAGATGAGCAGAGCCTCTCCGTAAGGAGAATGGGGGTGGAGCACATTATAAAATGGTCTGTGACAAGAACAGAACAAAGCGGGGAAAACAAGATGACACCCTGGAGGAAGTTTAATAGAGAAGGTGACTTCCCAGTAAAGAGTAAATAAAGTTCACATTTATGCTACTGTGTGAAAGCATTCTACACAGAGGAGAGCCTGCCCATCTGTTCAAAACTCCTGAGCATCCCATGAAGTATTAACTCATTGTAAACGAGTTTCAGATGCTTAGTAGATGTCGAGTTTTATATGTGGAATAGGCTGTTTTCAGGGGTGAAATACAACTGTGAGTGTCACTCTTTCTGGTGTTAATGCTGTCACCTGAGTGCGATCATTTGGAGAATAAGCATAGATAGAAGAAGGTCCCTGTACTAAGCCCTGGAGCATCCCAGTCTGGGATGATGGAAGATGAGGAAGGACTATGAGAGTGATTTGAGAGAATTAAAGAAAGAAAACCAGGCAAATGTGATTTTTGGGACCCTGATCAAGACAACATATCCAGTCTGTCAGTATATAGGACAGTGTGAGATCTGAACCAAAGAAAGAACTACACAGTGACATTTGCACTTAGCATCATGTGACTTTAGTAATAACAGTGTCAGTGGAAAAGTTATTACAGGAAGGAGCAGTGTGCAAGTAACCCTGGTACTTAATGTTGTCCCTGCACAAGCAAGCAGTTTATCTCAAGCCACTTTGCTTGTTGTTGGTGTTGTTGTTGGTGGTGGTGGTGATGGTGGTGGTGTGTGTGTGGTGGGTGATAGAAACGATAACATTTCTAATCTTACAGAAATTAGCCGGTAGATGGTTCAGCAGAGTTGGGAGGAAGATACTAGAGCAATGAAAAGATGAGCTTTACTCAGGCATATGCAGTTTTGCCTGGAGAAAAGAGACTGTAGAGTAAGTGGGCTCTGGTGATGTCATCTCAGAAAGTGGCCCTGGTTTTTGTGTTGAGTTGGGAGTGTTGAATGTGAAATGCTCAGGAGACATTGATGTGTGGGGTCTGTCATCAGTGTAAAGCTCTGACAAGTTTCCAATACAGATCTCAGGATCCACAGATACAGTAGATGGTAACTGCAGCCCGGTGCTGAGGTTGAGTGACGTGCTTAGGGAGAGCCTCTGGAGAGGAAGCGAACATGTGAGGTGAGGTAGCATTCTGAGGAGCACTGGCATTTACAGGAAGGCAGAAGGAGGGAGTTCCCTAAGGCAGATGAGAAGAAGCTAAGGTAGACTGGATATTAAGGTAGCACAGGGAGATTTTACAGAAAGGTTTGGTTTATTTACGAGATGGAGGCAGACCTCAGATTCTCACATGGTGTGCTTATTGTCATTTTAAAGTATAAGACTTAGTTTGTTTAATATTATTCTTTTAAAAAGAATGGCTTTACTTGAGACTTTATTCAGTTTATTTTTAGTGAACATTTTTTTTTCTCAAAAGCTTCTTTGCAATTTAATTTTCAAAGGTATTCCTGTGTCAGGAAAGATTCTTTAATATAACTAAATATAACATTTTGAGCTTTAAATAATACCATGATACATTTGCTTGCAGGCTGGATTTTTTCCTTGAATTTATAATTTAAATTATAATTTATCTTTAGAAATCAAGTGTTATAGATTTTGGGGTCTCCCATTACTTACATTTTTTATTCACTTGAAAATAGCTATATAAAATTACCTGGAACTGATCTGCTCTGAATTTTATTTTGTTGCTAACATCTTCTATCAAATTGTTATGGACATAAGTATATTTTTCAACATGAGAACACAGTCTTCAGAAACCAGTTCTCCTTCTCTCTTAGAGGCATTTAGAATGGTTTACTTCTAAACAGTTGTCAATCAGTCTTGCCCCATAAACATGCTTTGTAATATTATCCTGTGTACATTTGTGTCTGATGTAGACAGAGAGAAGGGCTGGGTCATCTGTTGACTAAAAGCGCATGAGTGTGATTTCCAGGGCAAAGGGGTGGATGTGAACAGTTCACTCTAAGTAAAGCAGCGGGTACACCAGTCAGCCAGAATGCTGTCATTTTCAGGGACGTCACTTCTGCTGTGGCATTTTCTACTATTACCTATATACTCAGAGGACACCTGCCATGGTGCCTGTTGAGAATGTCAGCCCCCCTCTCACTGTGGCAAGAGAAGTGTCCTCTGAGTGTTCTCAGGAGACACTGTAGAGAGTGGCTGAGCAACTAGGAAGTAGAGACACTCAAGCATTCTCCTTATCCGAGCAGGACAGACACTGCTTCATGTCAGGTAAGTCTCATGTGAAGCTCATTGATTCAGGCTAGCAATGAAAACTCACACCTAATTATTGAATCAGTGCATTGAACCACAAATCCCAGATTGTACATTGAGTAAACTTGGTATATTTGCTCTGACCATCCTTGGCCTCCCACCTCTAGAGTTCATGTGCATATGCTACTCCCTACTTTTCCCTATATAAATTTATACAAGTGTCAGTTCTTCATTGTGTAAGTCCCTCATTCACATCTGCACTTGATCTTGGCTGTGGTCCTAGCTCTCATGATGAGGCCTGAAGACGATGATGATAGTGTAGGTCTTACAGTCAGCACCCCTCATCTGGAAGCAGCTGTTCTTGGGTGGTGACGCTAATGAAAGGCTCAAAGTGCTCTTAGCTTCAGCTGTTGCTGTGCACGGACAGGTTCTTACCCGTCAGCGCCTGTGCCTTCTAACAGACTATGCTGACAAGACTGTAGTGCTGCACACTAGTGACTTTAGACGAACTCCAGGTGAGGGTCACCCTACACAGTTAAGAGGCCTGCACTCCTTAAAACTGTTGTGAGATCTAGAGAAGACAAAGAAACTACTTTGAACAAAGGGAAAATGAGAAAGAAACTGCCAAGCACAGCCCATGTTTTTCAATTGGCTTGGGACTAGATAAGAAACAGATAGCATTGAGCTGATGGGAAGCTTAAATCAGGAAGATTTGGTAGTAGTGCTGATTAGGACAAGTGCTTGTGGAAGTTAAGCATGACTTGACTCTGGGACATACAGTCTGGACATACAGTCTGGTCAGAGAATAACATCTGCACCTGCCTCTTAGTTGGTCAGGAGAATACTGTACGCACAGAGTAATCTAGCAGCTGATGGACAAAGCTAATCATTGGGACATCTATGTAAAGAGACACAGAGGTTTTTGTACTATGTTTATAACTTTTCTGTTACATTGAAATCATTTCAAACCAATATTATTAAACATCAAGATTCAGATAATTATTAATTTCTAAGTATTAACCATTTTAATGATATTAATAAGCTAGTTTATTCTTATTTCTACATATTTGCTATATAACTGTTAACACAAATACTTTTTTTTCAGTTGAATTTTGACCCAATTCCTTTCTCTGATTTTCTGTTTTAAATTGTGTTAGTCAAAGTGAAAGGGAAGAATTTGAAAATGAGTTCAAACAACAGTATGAACGAGAAAAAGTATTATTAATTGAAGAAAATAAAAAGTTAACGAGTGAACTCGATAAGGTGAGTGGTTGCGTCTCCTTTGGTCAAGTGCATGCTGCATGTAGAACACTGTGCTTTATACCACGACTGTCACTTTATATTTGCTGTGATATTTCATGGTGGCAGTGTTTGAATGACAAGTTTTTACTATACCCATTTGTGTCAGACTTAGTTTTGCTCCTCCCACCTTTTTGCCCTCCTGAACCTCTCCCCATCACCACCTTTTATTTGAGACAGTGTTTCATATAGCCCAGCTGCCCTTGAACTTATTTTATAGCTGAGATTAGCCTTAAATTACTAATTCTCCTACCTCTACTAGAATTACGGTCATGTACCCCTATGCCAGCCCATCTGTGTATGTGTGTTGCATAAGTATATGTATGTATGATATATGGCTGTATATGTGCAGGGACTTATTACTAACAATACATTAACTAAAGTTATAAACTGACAAGTCCTAGCAGCTGCAGCTGGCAATGTTGAAAACAGAGAGCCTTCCAGTCCATCCATCAGCAGGCTCAAGATCAAATACTTCCTGTAGTTTCTCCTTGAAAACAGTTTGTCAGATTCCCTTTTGCCTGGAGTACCTGCTGTGTTAGGGAGGATAATCTATGTTTTTCACTGTACTGACTTAAATGTCAGTTTCACCCAGGAATATCCACACAGACATATTCATAATAAGAATTTACCAAATATTTGGGCTCCTCTATTCCAGTCAAGATGACATATAAAATTTAAAACAATATGATTTCTCATCATGTAAACATTTCTGTGAAAAGCTTTTCTTAGAAAACTTGTCCCCATCAACATTACATGTTAAAAGGGCTGACCTAGGATCTCTGAAAATATACAAGGAAGAAAGAAACGCAGCTAATGGCAAGTGGGGGCCATTTGTCAGGAAATGGATGGGTAGTAGTAGCATGAGATTTTTTTTAAATTTAAGAAAATTTTTGTACATAATATATCACATATATGAAGAAAGTTGCCAGGCATACCAACAAACCCACACAAATCACTGAAAAGCCAGCAGGAGGATAAAACAGCACAAACAAAATTCCAAAATGAGAGGGAACACAAGGCAGTGAGTATAAACAGAGGTGTGAGAGTTCCCCACAGGTAATGTGTATAGATTGGTAGGTTGGTCAGTGTTAAATAACTGTATTATACGTTCGAGAAAGGAGATGAAGTGAAGAATTTGAACAAGTAAGTGAATTTTATACAGAATAATCAAACAGAACTTTTAAAAATTAAATTACCAAAATACTTAAAAGAAAGTTTTACTAACATATTGGAAATAGTAAATGCACAGCTAAATAAACAAAAAGATTAAGGTTGGACAGGGCTTCAAAAAATAAAAACAAAACAAAAAGGGGACATAGGAGTGTGGGACATAGGAGTGATGAGAACTAATGTGCGAATATTTGTCTTCCCAAAAGGAGAGGTGGGTGAGACTGTTGCAGAAACAGTATTTGAAGAATTAATAGCCTAAAAATGCCAGAATCTATAAAACTGCTGAGTCACAAAACTTCCCAAAGCAGAAACCAATGTAGGATCATAATAGCAGCCAGAGAAGGCACGTGACACTCAGAGGGCAAAGGTCAGAGGGCAAAGGTCAGAGGCCTGAGCTTCAGCACTAGGGACAAAGGGAAGAAGTGACACTCAGAGGGCAAAGGTCAGAGGCCTGAGCTTCAGCAGGAGGGACAGGAAGAAGCAGCAGACCAGAAAAAACAAAGAGAAGTCACTTTCCAAACACTGAAACAAAGTAACTGCCCTCATAAATTGTTAAATGTTGTGTTTCATAAAGAAACCTGCAAAAAATAAGTGATAGGTCAAACAGTTGTGTCACATTCTCGGTGGATCATGATTTAACATAACAAACCTAGGTTGGTTTTTGTTCTAAATAGAAATTTCCACACTAGGAGGTTTGTTTTCAAATGTCTCTGTGGTGTTTGTATGTATGTGTGTGCTCAGGTAGATGGAGTGGAGACCAGAAGGTGACAGTGGGTATGCTCCTCAGTAGCTCTTTCTCCTACCCCACCCCGCCCCCTTTTTTAAAGCTAAGGTCTCTAGCTGACATCGGGTGGAGCTCACTGCTCTTTACTCCACCCTATGCTGGGGTTGCATGTGCTGGATGCATCCTGCCACACTGCCTCTTCCCTGTGTCCCGAGGCCCAGAACTCAGGTGTTCCTATTTGGGCAACAGAAATTTATTGACTGAGCCATCTTCTAATCCCCAGGTTTAAACTGAGGTTCAAAGTGTTTATCTTGAAAGTGAAAGAGCCTCATTTTAAAGTAATATGTGTTACAGATAATTTTATATAATTAAAATGCATTTTTTCCTGGAGTACGAGTGAGAGAAGGTTGCTGTGGGAGGTGGGTGGCTGTTGAAGCTGTGTTGAGCCCTTGAGAGTTCACTTACAGCGTCTGCTTCTCTCACTGATAAGGACACTATTTTATCTCATTTTCTTCATTCGTTTGAACTAGTAGTTATTTGTACAGTTTCCTTTTATATTTTAAATAATTTTTATTTTTATTATATATATATAGATAGATGTTTTGCCTGCCTGTATCATGTGCATGCAGTGCCTGTGGAGGCCAGAAGAGGGCATTGTGTCCCCTTGGCCAGAGTGCCAGTTATTCTTCCAGAGGATCTGGATTCAACTGCTAGCACCCACATGGTGGCTCACAACCGTGTGTGTGTGTGTGTGTGTGTGTGTGTGTGTGTGTGTGTGTGTTTGTAATTTTTTATAAGAATTTTATAAGTTAACAGAACATTTGCAGAAAGGGGAGGTGGGAGTGAGGGAGGAAGGAAGAGACTGGCCTAAGGAAATGGGTAATCTTTTCAAGTTGATGAACATTCACAATTAAGACCAGTTTCATGTAAGGCTTGATGAAGGGCAAGAAAGAAAGCAGGAAATTTCTAAGTGTCCATTGTTACTAAATTCTTCAGTGTGTCTTCAGTGTGCTGTAGAATAATAAAAAAAATTTTTTTAGTTGAAGATTGTTAGATGCGATAATAGATGTCTAAGTACTGTCTTGTTCAGCCACTCATGCCTTCCAAACTACCTTGTAGCTGACGTCCTTGTATGAGAGCTTAAGTTTGCGCAACCAGCACTTAGAAGAAGAGGTCAAAGATCTAGCAGATAAGAAGGAATCAGTCGCCCACTGGGAAGCCCAAATCACAGAGATAATCCAGTGGTGAGTGCCCTCCAGAGTGCTGTTGTGGGGACAGGGCCTGGGTGAGGTCCTAACCTCTCTTTGTCTTCCTTTGCCATGGAAATAAAGTTACCTTACCCTTGTAAAAATGGAAAAATAAGCCTTTAAAGAGCCTAAGAAACACTTCTGTTTGCTTTTGGTGTTTCCTAAGGTCAAAACTGCCATATTTGTGGTTATTTTAAGAAACTGGTAGCCTGAGAAAAATGTAAAAGATGAACACTACCGTGTTTGTAAGGATAACATAGCAGTTCACATATGGCATTTTAAAAATCTTAAAAGATTGGGGCTTAGCTTCACAAACTGTTTCTTACACTCTGAGGACTAATTTTGATTATTTGGCCTATGACTTTAGTCATCTTTGTTTACTAAGTGATTGTTGCTATGCTTATACAGGTTTGCATCTCTTCTACTTCATGGAGAAAGAGGGACCCAGTGAAGACTTTTTCTTAATTTCTTTTATATTTATTTAAATCTTTACTCGTTTTAACCTTTATATTAAAATAGCTAGTTCCTTTATATATCTACAAACCAGTTTATTATTTATTGAGGATTTTAATTTCCTGTGATTATATCAGCTTAATCAGTTATCTACTTTCCTTTATCTGATTTCTAATACCCTCCTTAAATCATAACCCAAATATGTCTATACTGACCTAACTGTAGAGTTCTTCTGATAAGTAATCTTTGCTTACACGTGTGCCCAGATTGTGAAAATTTACTTGTGTCCCAGAAAACAGAACTGTTAGTTTGTTGGTGTTTAATTCCTGTCTACACCATTGAATTTATATTTATAAAGGGAATTATTTTAACATTTAGCCAAGTTTATAATGGAGCTGAACAATAATAAAGGATAGAACTAGAAAATTGCTTTATAAGCTGGTGTTTCCACAGACTGTGATCCCAGACCACCTCTCTGTTTCCCAGTAATGAGGACAATGGGAAGTGTTCCTGATGAAGGATGGATTTTTTTATTCACCTATTCATTCAGTAACTCAGTTGTTCATTTTTAAAGACAGTTTTCACCATGTGCTTGTGGCTGACCTCAAATTCTTGGTCTTCCTGAAGAAAAAAGGGGCAACATCTGAACACTGCAGTGAAATAACTGCAGTCTGAAAATGCCAAATACTAAGAAATGTGGAGAAACATAAATGAAATCGACCTAACTGTTGTAGTGAAGCATTATGCTGCAGTTATTTATTGGCCAATAACTCAGTCTGAAGTAACTGGAAATTTTAACACTAGGAAATTTGTGTTTTAAAAGCGTGTTTGTGTGTGGAGGTAGGCTATACATCAACTTTGGGATGCTTCATCAGTCACTGTACCCTTAAAATAAATGTATGATTTAACAAATTTTCTGTCTAAATCATACTGATTTTTATTAGCTCTGTGACTTTAAGATAATAAATAGAAACTGGACTTGGATTTCTTTAACCTTTAACCTTTATTCTTTCATTATTATTTAATTAATATTTTTAGAAAACGGGTACTTCATTATAACCCTGATTTCTGTAGAATATCATATTTAAAATTTTCTAAATTCAATATACTTTAGCTTTAAATAAAGTATCTATTTTTTGTGAGATAAAATATGAGAATCTAGAATGAGAAATCTTAGTAGTCTTCAGAAAGCCTTATGCTTGTCCAGTGTGAGATCTAAAGGGTCATTGTTTGTGGTTCGTGGATGATTTACTGTTTGTCAGATGTAAATAACCTGGGCTTCCCTAAACACTGCCAGCTTCCATTCGTACATAACTGAATAGTTAATAAATCTGTTCCCACCTCTTGACAGGTAGCAGTAGTGGTGTGGCCAGTCTTTTAAAGGAGTTCTTTAAGTATTTCTTTAAGTTTTTTTGGCACTTGGTTCTTAATGAAGCTTTAAATTACATCCATCAAGTTTTCCTGTGTTTGACTTTGTACGTTTCCACCTTTGTGTGTGTGTGTGTGTGTGTACTCTAGGGTGAGCGATGAGAAGGACGCGCGAGGCTATCTTCAGGCCTTAGCTTCTAAAATGACTGAAGAATTGGAAGCGTTAAGAAACTCCAGCTTGGGGACCCGAGCAACAGTAAGCTCTGCTGTCTTACACAGAGGGTCATCTCTTTAACAAGCAGGACATACACGATAACTCTGGCTGGTATCAAAGTCCTCATGAGAAATATTTTAGATCTTTATAAGAAAATATAACCTATTACTGTTAGCTCTTATTGTATAGCTATTTATTATTGAAGGAACTGAAAAGAAAAAAATAATTATTTATTTATGCATATTTACTGTTATTTCTGGATTTAATGAAAATGTGTTTTTACAAGTTTTGTGTCAGTTCTACTCAGTTATCAGTGATATTGCTTATAAAATAGCTGCTAGATTCCCTTATATTATGAAATTTAATTTTAAGAATAAAATAGGAGGGAACTAACACATAGCCATATTATTCTATAGGATATGCCCTGGAAAATGCGTCGTTTTGCCAAACTGGACATGTCAGCTAGACTAGAGTTGCAGTCTGCTTTGGATGCAGAAATAAGAGCTAAGCAGGCCATCCAGGAAGAGCTGAATAAAGTCAAAGCATCTAACATCATAACAGAATGGTAAGGACCAATAACCTAGTCACTACAGTAGTTTATAAGCAAGCTTGTGGAAGCTACATGTTTAGTTGCCTATCTGTTAGGGCTTTTAGTTGTTGCTGTTTGTTTGTTTTTTAAGCAAAAAAATGATGGCCAGAAGATTGGGAATGCAATTCAGTAGTATAGTGCTTGCCTGGCATGCCCAAGGCCAAAGGTCTGCCCCCACCTCCCGACAAATGTGAGGAACAGGTTTGGAGAGCTAGCTAGCTCAGTCATTAAAGTGCTTGCCTTACAAGCATGAAGTCCTAAATTTGAGCCCCACGTTTAAAAAAAAATGCTGGAGCCATAGCATCTGCCTATAATCCCTGGACCGGAAAGAGAGAGGAAAGGGAGAGGGAGAGAGGGAGAAAAAGAATGAGAAAGAATGAGAATTCCAGCTCACTGGCCAGGCGCCTAGCCAGATCAGTGAGCTCCAAATTCAGTGAGAAACTGTCTCCAAACCTAAGGTGAGGAGCTGCAGAGGAAGACATTGAGATTGCCCTCTGCCCTGCACATCTGTGCACGCACACCCAGACACTTACACATGAAACAGTGACCACAAAAACCTGTCAAGATTTGAAAAGGAAAGATGTGATTCTAGGTCACATCTCATACAGCCTTGTTTTCTTCAGGCTTATTTTACTCCTTATATGTTAAGTTTAGTTAACTCAATTTTTTTCTATTAAATCTAAAATTCTCTCACATTCTGTACAGAATGAAACTTGTAGCCAGAACAAAACACAAATATCTGAAAATTGGGACCTCTACCATAGGTCTTTTACAAATGGTCATTTTATTGATGTTAAATTGTATGAGTATTTGTTTGTTTGGGGGTTTTAGATGTTAAGTTTTGCAAAGGCAAAATAATTATAATCATTTTCAGGTTCCTTTATTTAAAAATAAGCAAACTTACAGTATCCAGGGCAGTTAGCTACTAAATATATCCCCTTGATTTTTGTTATAACAGTAAAACAAATTCTATTTTAGATGCATAAATGTGAAACAAAAGTTTTTAAATGGATTAGATATAAAAATGGTTCGTAAATAAGTCATAGGACTGGACAGATGGCTCAGCAATTGAGAGTTCTCAGTGGTCTTGCAGGGGACCAAGGTTTGATTTTTCAGCAGTTAGATCAGGGACCTCACAACTGCCTGTAAGTCTAGTTCCATAGAATTCAAAATGTTGGGACCTCCTTAGGGAATCTGTTTGCATGTGTTACACATAAACTCAGACAGACAGACACACACAAACAAACAGACACACATACACATATGAAGAAAGATTAATAAATCTTTAAATAAATCAGTTAGTGGGTAACATTGGAACAATAGTAAGTTCACAGTAAAAATGAAACTAAATTTAAAAATCCTTCTGGCTCAAAAATACCAAAACTTCCAAAAGCATGAGAAGAAACACAGGACTATAAATTTAATTTTGAGTGGTTTGTTGCCTTAAGACGTAAGCTATAGTCATTTTTTTTTCTTAATGAAGGACAGACACACTTCTGTTGAATTATAAACTTTTAATGTAAATGACACAGGCATAAATTAAGTATGTGTTATTTAAATATGCTTGCGAAGCATTGAAAGAGAAACTTTTCTCTTGTAGCTTTAGCTACATGGTGATATATGAAGAAAGTCTTAACAGGATTCTAAAATTAACTTTTGGTTTCATAATATTACTAAATGTAATAATTTAGCTCAGGGTCAGCAGATGTTTCTATAAAGGCACTCTCTCTCAGTCCTTCCTCACAGTGCAGCAGCAGCCTCAATCCTGTACTGATGCTTGCCAGTGCTAGGGGTTGAGCTAGAGCTTCCTTCACACGGGCCAGACAAGTCCTCTGCAACTGAGCTGCACTCCAGACCTGGCAGCCACCATCTTTACCGAAATGAATGAGCCTGGCTTGCTTTATTAATGTGCATAATAGCGGGTGACAGGCTGCATTTGTCTTCATGCAGTAGTTAACAGTCTTCTAATTTAGCCTCACAGACATTTAAACCAAATAATAAGCCCAGCTAAACAAAACTAATGACTCTTTTCCTTTCCCTGCTTATTTAAGTAAACTGAAAGATTCAGAGAAGAAGAATTTGGAACTGTTGTCCGAAATTGAGCAGCTGATAAAGGACACTGAAGAGCTTAGATCTGAAAAGGGTATGAGAATGTGTGTTTGTGTCAGCACTTGCTGTACTGAATGGCCATTATTGAGGAAGAACCAGCTTACTGCATAGATGGAGAATTCTTTACATTAGTAACCACACATGCACACACCTTGAAAGTTCATACAAGCACACACACACATTCATGTGTACATACATGTGCGTAGATATATACATGCAGACTGGCTGAGCAATTATGTATTAGTTAATATACATTATATTAAGAGTTTTTAATTACAGAAATGACCACTTTGCCATGAATTTGACTGTTATTTCAGTGTTGAAATATACTTTATGAGTAACTTTTAAGTAGGGATAAAAGTATTTTGTGATGTATTTATAATGTTCTCACAAGTCATATGAGGTAGTCACTTCAACAGTGGTGTTGTGTGTTAACATTAGAACTTAGTGAAGAAACTTGAAAGGGGGGAGGTTGTATTGGGGGACAGAGTCTTGTTGAACAGCCCATGGTGTTCTTGAATTCAGAATCCTCTTGCCCACTTCCCCAGAGTGGATTACAGTTACTAGCTTTCTGTGTGCCTACAGCATACAAAATCTTATGGTACAGGAAAAACAGGGAAACAATATAAAATCATTAAGATGACTAACTTAGCATTATTTTAGTAATGAAGAGTTATTTGCATGTTTGTTGTCTTTTTCCATGTTGATGCTTACATTGTTTGTCCTTTAAGATGTCCCAGGATTTATTAGTATTTTCTTGAGAACTTTTGTTCTTTTTAGATGGACCTAGCTCAGAGCATGCCATAACCCTATGATATAAACCTCTAATACAATCTTTTCATAATGTGGACATTACAAGGGTGATGATTTAGTAAAAATAAATTCAGAATGTGACTTCTTTTAGTAAAGACATTTTATATAGAATTATCAAAAATCAATTTTTCTGGCAGTGGCCATCATCAATTACTGAATTAATGTATGGACTTTGTTTTTGTCTAAGAGTTTCTTTTATTATTTCCCATGTCCATAAAACAGAGAGGGTTGGGTCTGGTTGGGTCTTTAATGCCTGCTTATACTAAGGAGAATAGACTAACCACATAAAGCACTAAAGCACTTTGTTGCACCTTTTTGTTGATTGAATTTTGTAATGACAAAAAGTGAGTAAGAACTCACAGTACAAGGATAAGCCATCCAGCCAAATGATCATGCTTGATTTTAATTTATAAACAGTGGAGAAGTATATTAAGGAAGAAAAACAATATGTAATATGAGTGCTTGTGGTCCTAAAAGCAATTTAACCAGAATGACACCTGGGCCAAATAAAACTGACAAATCAAATGACTGCATTATTTTTATATTATATCCAAACCTAAAAGACTTGATGTTTCTGGCACATTGCTTTATGAAAGCATGTTAAACAAAGGCTTTCTTATTCAGAATGTTGCAAATTTTCATTATATTACAGCATGATATAATGTGCTATATAATTGAATTTACAAAATGAGGGCAAAGTCCTTTCTATACTTTATTTACTAATTTTATAACCAATATCTAGAAAAGTACCTGCTACAACATTTGTATTTGTGTGTGTGTGTGTGTGTGTGTGTGTGTGTGTGTGTGTGTGTGTGTGT